AACTACCAATTTCGAGAATTTTCATAAATAAAAACATGGCAAATTACGATTAGATGGAGCTATTCATCAAATTTTATGTTAATGTTATTAATTTTATAAAGGAGACGACAATTTCACTCTTTCAGTTAATAGAATGACTAACTCTAAGTGGCAGGAAAATTTATAATTGAACAGACAGTGAGTAAGTTGATTGTAGGCGATCGCTGTTATAAGCATCTCAATAAAATAATTGACAACGGTAAATATATATGCCATAGTAGAACAAATGACACCAAACTAATGCCGGACTCTCCGGATAAATACAGAAAAATTGTGAAATACTTAACAGAATCAAAGGTTGAATATCACACATATCAGTTATATGAAGAGAGAGCACTGAGAGTAGTGATAAGAGGCCTCCACCTTTCAACTCCACCTGATGAAATCAAAGAAGAATTGACGGCTTTAGGTTACAATATCCGCCAAATCACCAACGTTTATAAACAAAATAAAGAGCTACGAAATATAGATCCCAAACCTACAATTCCTACCTTTCTTCCCTCTCTGCCGATGACAACTCCCTCTGGAATGCGACCGAACAAATCCTTAAATACCAATCTATTTTCCACTCTGACGAGATGATGGAACCTGGGCTTCTTCAGATGAGACTAGAGCTGAAGAATTTACCGAAAATCTATCCAAAACATTCACTCCCCACCCCGAACTCCATCCCACCCACACTGGTGAAGTTGAAGAATTACTCTCTTTTCCGATTCCTCTCTCCTTACCTCCTAAAGCTGTCAACCCCTCTGAGGTCAAATTCCTTATAAACAACTTGAAACCTCGAAAATCCCCTGGACATGATCTCCTTACTTCCCAGATCCTTAGACAACTTCCCAAAAAAGCAATGATATTCCTCAAAACTCACTTTCCTCTGATATGGAAACACTCCATTATTATCCTCTTCCCGAAACCAGGTAAACCTGTTAATAATACCTCATCCTATAGACCGATAAGCTTACTTCCGATCCTCTCAAAAATCTTTGAAAAAATCCTTCTCAAACATATCCTACCCATTCTCGAAACCCAAAATATCCCCTCCCATTAGTTTTGATTCCGCTCAAGACATTCCACTGTTCAACAAGGCCTCCGCGTTGTTGACCATATATCCTCTGCGCTTGAAAGCAAGCAATATTGCACTAGTGCTTTTCTGGACGTAGCGCAAGTTTTCGACCGGGTGTGGCACGATGGCTTGCTTTTCAAGCTGAAAACTTACTTACCCCAATCTTTGTACCTAGTTCTAAAATCCTACCTCTCAAATCGTTCCTTTAAGTCCGCTGCGGCACTGGATTTTCCAACTATTATCCAGCTGAGGCTGGTGTTCCACAAGGCAGTGTCTTGGGCCAAGTTCTCTACATCCTTTTCACAGCTGACATTCCAACCCATCCTAATACCCTTCTAGCAACATTTGTTGACGATATCGCCATCCTATCTTCCCACCCAGTCCCTGAAACAGCATCCCTAAACATTCGAAAACACATCTCCCTAATCGAGCAATGGTGCAACAATTGGCGCATTAAGATCAATGAATCCAAATGCAAGCAAGTCACCTTTACCCTCCGACGCAGATCCTGTCCACATATCCTTTTCAACTCAGTACCTCTTCCCATCTCAGACACAGTTCGGTATCTTGGATTCCTTTTAGACAAAAGACTAACATGGAACCCACATACCAGACTTAAAAGACAAGAGCTTAACCGACGACTTGGCCAGTTATACAGACTACTTAACAGAAAATCTAACCTCTCAATTGAGAACAAACTATTAATATGCAAGACCATACTGAAACCCATCTGGACCTACGGACTTGAACTGTGGGAGACAACTAAATTTTCGAACATCAAACGCATCCAATCCTTCTAGTCTAAAGTCCTCCGTATAATAGTCAATGCTCCTTATTATGTTACGAACAAAAACTTACATCATGACCTTAACATCCTTTATATCCTTGACGTTATTCCATATCGATTTTAAAATTTTCATACGAACCTAATCCATCATCCTAATCCCTTAGCACAATCCTTATCCAGTTCCTGTCATCCCTACAATCCTCCTCGAAGGTTGAAGGGGCAGTGGCCTCGAGATCTTTTGTAAAGACGTCATTGGATTCCTGGTGATGGCCAGCTTCTCCACTCAAGTCATGAGCGTATGTGGCTTTAGTGCCCTCACTTAGTCTCCACTGGATTCCCATCCCAGTGATGCGGCTGAGAGAGAAGGCATCTCTTGGAAACCTCCACACGTGGGGGAAAAAGGCCCGACTCGGAGTTCCATCGGCTGACTGTAAATATTGTAAATAAGTATGAATGTGTTTTTATTTATTTAATGTTGTATCGTGATCGATTTATTCTGTTACTCCAAGTTTTATTTTATTTTGTTATAATCTTGTTTTTTTTTTATTGTATATATGGTATGTTTGTATTTCATTCATCCTAAATACTCAATGCCCTTAATTGAGGCAAAATGCATTTTTTTCTAAATAAAAACAAAACAAAAAAAACATTCTATTTATGATGTGAATAAACATATCATGTTGTTTTTAGTAAGCAGTACTCTTCTACATCTAAACCGTCTGAAAGTCTCCTATACACTTCTAGTTGTTCAAGTTGTTTAATTTTCAAAACTAAACCACAACTGACATGAAATCTTCATCGTCCCTAGCACACCCCTTATGATACTGACGTATCCAGCTGATTTTTTTATGATACATTTTAACCTTGTGGCTACTTTGGATAGTATTAGCCCCACTCCTTTTTGAATTGGGATATACCATAATTTTTTCTATGATATGGTCCAGAAGATTGGGTCTTTGAAATGAAATAAATGGACTGTATTGAAATAAATAATTATATTGAGCATTGTGTAGAGATGGGGGTTTGATGCATAAAGGTTTACAATATTTTACTTGATGTGGCTGAGGTACGGTGGTCGGTATCGGTGGTCGGCCGGCTGCAATACTTCCTCACATCCATGGGTTCGGTAAGTCTCAGTGTTCTACTCCATACCTCTTCCCATGGTAGAACAGAGTATGAATGGTAGTCTTGAAGAGGGTGGATAATTCATCTTCTTCTGGTTTCAGTAGCCCATTTTTCTCTTCTACTAATAGTTTTAGTGCAGACATACATATTTTATAGACAAAAAAAAAAAAAAAAATCATTTAGAAACTACGACTTGGTCATAAATTGTTGTTATAGTTGTTTAAAAAAATTCTAATTATTTTGAAAAATACATTTTTTTTTTTTCTCCCTAGGTCATGCTAACAGAGGCGGTAATAACACATAATTTTATATTGCCCTCTGTCTCCTTCCCCAGTAAAACAAAAGTAAATAATATAAAAACGATATTATAATGAATAATTTATATTATACTTTTAAGAGAATATATTTGATGACAGTGGATGATTTTTTAATAAATTGGACAATTATACTTTAAATATTTTTAAAACGATATGTAAAACTATAAATTATCTTTATGAGCCGAGAAAGAAGATTCACGAGTATCGTTAATGCGGCAAAAGCTACACTAACCAGCGTAGCTTGAGAGATCACCCTTTGAGTAACCCTTAAATCTTTTGTAGTTTTGGTATTTTATATAGATTATAAGGTTAATATATACATAAAGAAATTTATTTATACTTATATAATATAATTTTATATATATATTTATACTGCATGCTTATTCTAGAGTTAAGGATAGCCATTAAGGAATTGAAACATTTGAAAGAAAGGTCACTCAAAGATTAAATGAAAGCAATGTAAAAGAGCATACAGTTGATGAGCGATGGCGGAGAATAAGGACGGTGTTGAATGAGGTTGCTGTGGAAGTGCTAGGGTGTAAACTCAGGAAAGAAAGAAACGAATGGTGTGATGAAGAATGTTTACAAGCAGTTGGAGAGAGGAATGACGCGAGAGCCAAATATTTAAAGAGGACAACTAGAGCGACAATGGAAATTTACATAATACAAAAAAAAAGAGTCGAAGAAATTTGTCTAAAGAAAAAGCGGGAATCGGAAAGCAAAATCATAAAACATAAACAAGAGGAGTATGCGGCAAAAGAAATTAGGAAATTTTACAATAAGACATTGCTATTTTATAATTGTTTTTATTTGTTGTTAGATGCAGGGGAGTTATATAATTATATATGTATAGTAAAGTGATAGGCAGTAATCGACTTTAATTCCAATGTAATTTATGATTTATTTTTAATTTGTGGTCAGTTTGGATGCTATTACCCCCACTCTTTTTTGAGTTCTGTACCTGACCAACGTACCTGAAAATGGTCAGTCCCTCTTGAGTCTCCGTGTTAGAAGGTTCACTTTTCTAGAAAATATCTTCTATCATGGCCAACTTCCCGAGTAGTGAAGAGCTGCTGGCTCTGCTAGATTCAGGGGAGTTCGATTGGCTCCGCGAGGTTCCGCCAATATCGTGCTACCTGGAGATATGTATGTCATTTACACATTGATTTATTTTTTTTATCATTCTTTTATTATTCTTTGAAATCAATACAACTCTTGAATCGCAGTCCACGCTGAAGTTCGCCAACGGATGGAGAGGCGAGAGGAGGCGAAGGAGAAGCAGCACAGATGCGACGTATGCGGCAAATGCTACGCGAACCGACGTAGCTTAGTCAACCACACATACCTCCACACTGGTATTCCACCCCATGCTATATGAATATTATTTTTTTTTGTTAATCGAATTTCAATATCATTAAAATTTTTAACTAACGATAGTCAAAGAAAAAACGAATTTCGGTTTTTTAAAAATGTAAAATTCGAATTGATTTAGAAATTCTACCATATTCATAAATGGTTGTTATATTTCTTTAAAAAACATACAAATTAGTTTTGAAAAACATTTTTTCATTCAGAATTGTAGTTTTCTATGTTGTAACACCCTCTTGAGGTTTTGCCACAATTTTGTTGATGTAACTATCCTAGATAAGAATGAAATTAATATAACTCTTCAATTGTTGACGAAGGTGATGAATTGCCACGAGTAATTATTGAAGAACAAAGAAACTTGGAGAGGCCTTCGTGCAGGTTCGCACACCTCCAAGGAGGATGTTGGGGGGCGAATCCCACCCCCTTCGACTTCGCTGCGAGGAGGCACGCGGCAGAGCCGAGCAAGAAGGTTCATGTTTGTCAGGAATGCGGCAAAAGCTACGCTAACCATCGTAGCTTGAAAAACCATATTAATTGCCAGAATGCCTTATACCTGTGAACGGTGCCATCGTGGCTTCCGTTATCATCGTCACCTTAAGACTCATCTGAAGGATGATTATTGTTTTATTTAGTTTGAGGGTTTGGTAAAGATCCCTCACTATATATTTATTTTTCATTCTACATAATAATTGATTATTATGTTGAATACATTTTTTGGGGAATGTATTCGCGGTGCTCCCTGGGTAATGCTAACAGAGGCGGTAATATTTAACAACTATTACAAATATTAATAACAATTTCAAATTCCTCTCCCTTATCAATGTAAAATATAATAAACAGTAAAACTCAATAAACGTCATGTTGTGCTTTTGTATATATATTTTTAATATCAATATAATATATACATATTTTACATTATCTCATTGAAATAATTTACTTGTTCTATGATGCTCTTTTACTTTTTTTTTATTGTAATAAACGATTTTATAAATCTTAACAATTTAAAACATGATTAACAAAGAAAATCAAATTAGTAACCTATTCTACAAAACAGTTAACTATTAAACAAATTATATTATTTACAGTTTAATTATTAGTGCAATTGAGATGTTTGTTTCATAATTAGTTTTATATTAAAATGGTCACTATTTCCTATGGTTGTTTTAATTCTTTGCTAAAATCTTTTAAGAAGTTGATAAACTATTAATTAATCGCTAAATATTGTTGGTATTAAATAATATCAATTCAAAAAAATTTGAAAGGTGTTAAATATTCAGAATAGAACAGTCGACTATAACCCTTTAACAATTCATAAAATTTTAATTTCACAATGACTTATTGAACATTATAAGAATAATTTAGTACTTTACAATCTTTATGCTATATAAATATGATTTTTTGTTTTTGATCGAATTTCAAAATCTTTAAAATTTTAACTTACAATAATCAAAGAAAAAACAAATTTCGATTTATTAAAAATATATAATCCAAATTCATTTAGAAACTACGACTTGGTCATAAATTGTTGTTATAGTTGTTTAAAAAAATTCTAATTATTTTGAAAAATACATTTTTTTTTTTTCTCCCTGGGTCATGCTAACAGAGGCGGTAATAACACATAATTTTATATTTCCCTCTCTCTCCTTCTCCATTAAAACAAAAGTAAATAATATAAAAACGATATTATAATAAATAATTTATATTATACTTTTACGAGAATACATTTGATGACAGTGGATGAATTTTTAATAAATTGGACAATTATACTTTAAATATTTTTAAAACGACATGTAAAACTATAAATTATCTCGTTCACATTCCACATTTAAATTAGAAGAAATCTATCAAACCATGGATATTATTAAAAATTAAATTAATAGAACAATTGACTCCTTGTTGATCAATCATCAATCATGTCAAAATAAGGCAGTCTTGTACTCCTCCATTACTCCGATATACAGACTAGGAATATTCTGAAATATGAGACGTTTTCTCACACGATTTATTAAATTAACTAGAAATTACTAAAAACTCTAGAATACTCAACTGCTTTGTACTTGTGTTGAAAGATAATTTGTTCACAAAATCGAGAAATAAGGTGGATTACAAAAATATTTTGCCGTTTGGTATTTTCCCGCAATTTCGTGATCAAATTATCTTAAGATTCATAATGAAATGGATTCTTGAGTATTTAGTACCTAATTTAACTGACACAATTTGAAGATCTCCAAATTGAAAACTACCAACTTCGAGAATTTTCATAAATATAAACATGGTAAATTACGATTAGATGAAGCTATTCGTCGAATTTTATGTTAATGTTGTTAATTTTATAAAGGAGCCGACAATTTCACTCTTTCAGTTAATAGAATGACTAACTCCAAATTTAATATTTTTGGGTAAATTTATTTTAGTAATATTAGTTTCAGGAAAATATATATGTGTACAGACAGTGAGTAAGTTGATTGTAGGCGATCGCTGTGTTGAAATATAGAACAGTGAATAAAGATATAAATTTTATAACTAAAATTAATAACAAAAAAACTTGAAATTAGAGTTCGTCATTTTGTCAACTGAAATGCTCATAAAATCTGCGGTTTTACTTAAATTAAATTTATTCTTTGATGAAATGAGTTTCTGAAATATTTTATTATAAATAAAATAAAACTTTTACAGGAAGAAAAAAAAAATGTAATCATGGCATAGATACATTTTATGTAAATGTATTTCAGAGGGAATTAAACCCAATAGATATAATTCTAAATAGTTAGAAATAGCATAAACAACAAACACCAGTAATACTTTTAAATTACAGACAACTCTTATCTGCTTTAAGGTCTAAGGTCCTCTAATGAGACATCTTCTTGATAATTATTATTGATTTTTCAAACATAAACAATTGTAATACCAATTGTCTTAATAAAACTAAAGTGGTTCTAAACGATTTATCTTTTATTTATTTTGATATAATAGAAAAAATTCTAAACTTATACTTATGCTTTTAATATATTTAATAACAATTAAAAAAACGCTGCAATTATTACACAATGTATTATTATACATCGAAAGTAATATTACTTTCCTTGTGACATAAGGAAAAAATAAATAAAATGTGATTCCTAATATCTAAATAATTTTTATATCATTATTAGCAATTTTCCAAGACAAATAGAAAACATTATTTCAGTTAATGTAACACTTTCAAAAATTCCAAAAAAAAAAAAATAAATAAATAAATAAATAATTTTTGCAGTAGGACATAAGAAAAATATTTTTAAAATAACACATATCTTTGCACCTAATTGTTCGATTTCAACAATTTTTTTTTTTTATTTTAGTAAATTTCGTAAACTTCTAAATATACATTAAGAAAATGTGTATACTTTTTGTGTTATTTGGAAATCTAATTATACCACATAGTAATGTTTGTTTAAATTTGTATAATAACGTTGGTAAATAGTCGATATATTTGATCAACTGAAAATCGGAGGTCAGTATTTAGAGGACTACATAGATCTCACTAATTTCACAATATCACTTACTTAAATTACAAGCTTGGTTCAAACAATGAAAAATTGGAATTAATCATGACAGATCCAAACATAAAGCATTTAATATTCAAAGAAATACCCGTCATCCTGTTTATATTACCAACAACCAAATTCCTCAAACATAAGGTATTTTAGCTTGGACTTACATTTGAAAAAAGGATGACATGGTGCTCGCATGTAAATATGAAACCTAAGAAATAAACTGTGATAGACACCGAATACATATATATTATATTTACCTTCATGAAAACATATATTTTAGAATTTATGATAAAATAAAATAGACATAAAATAAAATAAAAATTCATGTTTTTTTCCATTTTTACTCATTAAACCAATCGAAGACAGATTAAAATTCCTTGAGGTATACAATTAGGATAGAAATTAATCTTAACTTAGATAAAAAATAAAATCGCTATTTTAACAATAATAAAAATAAATATTATTTTATTATCTATATATATATATATCACATAATTGTTATCATAACAAAGTTAATAATAAGCAAGAAAAACAGAAATTAATAAAGAATTTTATTAGTAAAAAATAGTTTTTTAAAATAATATATACATTTTGCATAAGAAATTAATTAATTAAAAAGTAAGAATGAAATCAATATATAATATCAGTAAATAAATATTATTGTTATTAGTTTTTTATTATTTATTCGAAAATCATTTTATATGTACAAGGTAACAAAAGCGTTTTTTTCTGTTCATAGAAAGAAAAAATTATATAGAAAGAAAAAATATAAACCCTGACTAGGAAAAAAAGAACTTTTGTCGAAATGATATTGACCAATAATTTAAAAAAAAAAATAGATAGGTGGTAAATAATATGTGACAAGAAATGTTTGAAAATCGTTCAGTGCCCAAAGCTATATGATATATGATCTAATTAAATTAAAATTTTGTTTAATAAGCATTTATATTTAAGCAAATATAAATATTAATATTTAAATTCACTGATATGAGATGCAAGTGGAAACTGAAAGAGGGCAGGACTCCAAATGAATATTTACTAAAGGTCTCGAGGCCACTGTCGCTTTAATCTTCGAGGAGGATTATACGAAGGAGGAAGGATTTTATACGATTGTTATCCCGCATTTATATCTTGTCCAATGATTTAATAAAATACTATCTATTCATATAAGAAAAAAAAAAAAAAGAATATAACTTAGAAAGATTTACTTTACTTAAAATTTTAAATTTAATTTAATTTTGAACACATTTTTTATTCTAACCTAATCAACGCTGTGTATCACAGAAAAGACTGTTTAAAATGTTGTAAAATCTAACTAAATTATGCAGATTCTACGGCAATTTTTACGGATTTTCTTTAAAATTTTTTTACGGATAATTTAGCTGTCTCCCACAGTTCAAGTCTATAGGTTTCGAACGTTCTTATAGATTAATAATATGTTTTTAATTGTAAGATGAGATGTTCTGTTTAATAATCTGTATACCTGGTCGAATCGTCAGTTTACTTTGTGTCTTTTAAGGTTTGTATTTGGATTCCAATTCAGTCTTTTATCAAGGATCTAGGTTGGAGGGTGAAAGTGACATGTTTACATTTTGATTAATTTGATGCGCCAATTGTTGCACCACTGATCAATAAGAATGCCTCAATAGACGGCAAAATACTAAATGGAAGGCCAAAGAGCAAATGGATAAATAGAATAAACAAGTATGAAATACAGCTGTGAGTAGATAACTGGAAGGAAATGTTCTAAGACAGGCCGCGGTGGATCAGAAATGTTTAGGTGGCAGAAGATCTTTAACGCCAACGAAAATAAAAAAATAATAGAAATATAAAATTTCTATATACAAAATTAAGATAACATTTTTTATTATAAAATATTATCCTTACATGCTATTTTGAGTTCTGCGCGTGCGCTAATCTATTACAAATCAGCTGTTACTTCGTCTCCCACAAATTATTAAAATACCAGTGAATTAGT